TAAACATTTTACAATACCTCTCAGTGTTGGTAGGTCCCACATCGTCTCACACAAATAAAATAACTGTCCCACATTTGGTTTCTAGGGGTCTGGTCCCCCAACTGAAGTGACTTGTGGACCAACTGAGGTCACAATTACAACCTCATCCAAACTTCCTCTGGCAGAGTTTTGCTATTCCAGGGCCAGACTCTCCGGGGGTTTGTTATCTTCAAACAGTCACACTTTGATGTTGTACACAGTATTACAACAACAGTAATCAGTCTCCACCAGGAAATGTGTTGTTGACTTGCTCCATTTACAAACTCCTAACGGTACTGTAACACTGCAGGGATTACTGCCTTTGGTGGAGCTGGATTTTGTACTTTTTTAAAACTACATAACTAATGTGGCAGATTTTCTGCTGCCATTGTTAAACCAAATTAATACATGTGCTTTCTTTATGACTGACTGGAGCCATACAAGCTATGTAGTGCTTCAGTGGCTATAAGCTATACACATTACTATTATTAGTGTTACTTCTATTAAAGGGGCTCACCGCACACATTGTACATTGTGTTCCTGTTACTTTACCTGGTTTGGGTGCTTTAGCTCCACCACCACCTCCTCCCAGTCCAACTGCAGAGGGATACGTCAACCCACCTGTCAGAGAGAGAGAGAGAGAGAGAGAGAGACGGGTTTAGTGACTCTAAATAAACACTGTTTCCACTAAAACCACCAGATTTCCTTAATCAAAGTATCCAGCTAGTCTCTCATTCCTGACTCTATGCCCCAAACACACACTTATCAGATGGCCAATTTTCCTGCACAGGAAGTGCAGTGCGATGGCATCTCTTGACCAACTGTCACTTTGAGCACTGGGCAGAACATTGTGTATTAGTGTGCTCATCCTCCTCTCCTCTCATACATACCCTGGCCATAACCTTGATGATATGGCCTGTATCCCCCTGAATCGTGATGACAGAGAAAAGTAACATTATTGTCTGGTAGGTCAAATCATCTCCCACAGTTTGTGTCAGGGGCTGGCTCATCCAGGAAATGGCATTGATTCAAATATTTTTTAAAAACACGTGGGAAATAAATAAGCAGTAGTTTTACTTTTCATGCTTGGTGTTTCCCCAATAACTGACAGCTCTGTGTTCTTGAAGTCCACAAATAAAGTTTTATTTTACATGTTAAAATAAATGTAGGTGTGCTCTGACCTTGATAACCTCCTGCTGCCAGTGGGATTCCTACTCCACCTCCTGCTCCAGTCACTGCAACAAGACGGCACAACACAACAATGTATGAGTCTCCACATGCAAAAAGTTAAACAAACGTCCCAAAAACATTGGACTACTACTACTACAAACTTTGGATAAACTGAAGCAGAAATACACGCATACAGACACACACCCGGGGGTTTTAACGGCTTTGCTCCAGGAAGCGTTGCAGCTCCGGGTCCAGTGCCGGTACCAGCACCGTAAGGGACTAAAGCACAGAGAGGATAGAAGTAATAGTCTCTGCATTTAGACCTAAAGTCTATAAATGTTAAGCAGACAATATAGAGAACTTGCCTCCATAGGGTCCACCATAGGGATAGCCACCTGCGCCTGGGCCGACACCTACTCCAGTGCCTTCGGAGTGAAAGTGTTAGAAAACTAAAGGTGTGAAGTCACAAGATTTAACAGAAGATTCTCCATTACACTGAGGAATCAAAGCATCTCTAACTACATCTTACTATTAGATTAGCTCAAATCCAAAACCAATCCAGTGAATTGTTTCTTAAATGATTAGATATCTCATTACTTTGAAAACTGAGAAGAATCAAAAAATTATGTTCTCAGGGAAAAACTAAAGACACAAAAATCAATGGATCTCTCTCCTAATTCTGCTTTAAAGAGGAATGTAATAGATTTTACTATCAACTATCATCATTAGTCCATTTAGTTTTCATCAAATCAGTTATAAAATTTATTTATCTTGACAATATCTAATGTTTTAACATTTATTTTACCCCATGCTGTATGATTTTAACCTTAGTGTTCAATGTGTCTTGGTTTGTTTTATTGTCTTATATGGATGCTCCTGCGCTCCCTCTCATGGACAATAAGATTAACTGACATTTGACTGATTGAGTTGAACTAAATGAAATGCAACAAAAAACCTTGGACTTGGTCTAATGTCAATGACAGGTAAAATAGTGCACAGCAGCAAAAAATACCCCAAAACTGCAAACCTGCAGATGCACAAAACTGATGACTTTTCAGTCTGTTGGAGGTATAATTGGGTAAAGAAAGCCTGATGCAGCTTTTCTTTATATATTAACTGCTGCTTTTATCGATTCAAATTGAGTCATTAACTGTCTAAAAAGAATGTGCACAGTAATAAATACAGCCCAGTGTGTGAAAGCATGATCTATTACACTGTTACACTGCTACACTGTATAAGATCATAAAAATTTATTGATAACATCATTAGGATGTTCTGACAAGGCCTGACAGAGCTAAGATGCTGTGTGCTGACTTTGTGGTATTTTAGAAAGAGCTACAAAGGCAACACTGATCCTCTACTCCACAGCAGATAAGGGAAGTTCATTTTATGGCAAAGCAGAATATTCAGTGCCTATATTTACAATTCATTTAATGTCCATTTTATGGTAAATAATTGAGCAAGGTCAACTTAATGATTAGTTAATTCATTGTGAGCCAGAGATAAGGCAGTTCTGCTGCACATTTTATACATTATTATGCAAACTAATCAAGATTTAATTCATGTTCTTGCCTTTTTAAGGTAAATATTTGCCACATTTACCTGGTTTGTATGGTTTAGGTGCTTTGCTTCCTGTGCCGACACCAATACCTGAAAACAGCAGTGTTATTATAATCCCAGACTGCAGCAGGGAGAAACGACCACAGCTGTTGTATTTGCCTTTGTCTCCACCATGCGGTCAGGTAGATGTATCGCATCCCATTAAGTTTCAATAACAAAATATCTCTTTTAAGGGCTAAAAACAACATGGAGTTCTTACATCAATAAAAGTATAAATATTGGCCTACCCCCAGGTTGTTGGCCTCCAGTGGCAACTGAAGGAGAGAAGAGACTAATATGTAAACTGTTTATTTTAAACTGTTGGGAAAAAGAGAAAGAAGAAAGAAAATGATGACTGCTCTTACCACCAGAGGGTAAGGGGACACCTGCTCCACCTGTAACACATGAAATAAATGCACTTAAACATTTGAATACAACCTGTACAAAATACAAAATTTTTATGTGTTCTTTGGTATATTTCAATATGAGAGACTTTTAACATATTTACCAACACTTGAGCCAGCTGTAAATTAAAAAAAGTAGGTACGGTTAAGATACTGTATCTACAGTAATTATATATTCAGGTTAATTAAAAACAATTTCATATGTACTGTACAACTTACAGCTAGGCTGAATAATTCCACCAGAAACTGTAAAAAAAGTCAGAAATAAAGGTACATTAAAACAGGTTAAGACATACAACAGAATAAAATAAAAAGTAAATGTTTATGTTGAACTCACCGCCTGTTTATAACACATCCACGAGCACAAAAACAGAACAAAAAAGGAAGAATTAGTCAGACTGTCTTTTAAAATTAAAAACTGATGTACAGGAAAGAACAAACAGGAACAAAAACAACATAATCCTTTCAGAATAACACAATACAAACATTCAACATGAGGAGAAAATCGTGTTAGACAGCAGACGTACGAAACAACAATCTACTACAAGGTTGTATTCTATAGAGGGGGCTTCACAGCTCATAAAACTGCAGATCAAATGTCACATTATGATCGTGTGAGTTTCATGGCAATATCACAACAATCCCCTGCTGTAGAACCTGAACTGTAACACACAGAAAAAAGTGACTAATTACAAGCATTCATATTGTCAAAACAAACTTTTGCAGTCAAATGTGGAAAGGTGACATTCTAGTATTAATCTATCACTACCTTCTACACATCTTATGGATTTGAAATCACTAAAATATTATAGCTACTACAACGCATGAATGTAATTCATCAAGCACAGTGAGCTGTTAGTAAAAAGGAAAGGAGTGCACAAGACAAGTACTGTTGTGAAAAGAGACAACCTGTGGCCACAACTGACATGATGGGGAAGTGGCAGGGACCAGACAGGCTATATCAATTTCTCTTTCAGCACTACATGAAGCCTGACATTTAAGGATTGCGTGTGTAGCTGTCATATGCAAATGTTCTGGTATCTGTCAGACCACACAATGCTGGTGGCAAAACCCCCAAATTCCCTCATTAGATCCTGTGTAATGCTGAAAGAAGTAATACAATAGTGCCTGTCTTTACAGTCCCGACATGAAGTAGAATACTACGTGGTAAAATTATCCATTTATGTTTTCTACAGTTTACCACAGTATTTGAGAAGATGAACAACTGTTATTAAGGTAAAAATCATAACATTTAAAGGTTATATATATATATGAGATTTTGAACACTAATATAGCAGCAAATAAAGATATTGTGTTGTAATAATGTCCTAAGCAGAAAATCACACCTCCTCTGGGTCTGTAGTAGTCTGTGTCTTGTTTACCTCTCTGGTCTGGCCACGCATATATGTTTTGCACTAACTTAGTGCATGTGAGTCCGTCCATGTGTAACAGTGGAGAGACACTTTAATGTTTTTTTTTTTTTTATCTACGTCTGTAAATTAAGAATTTATTCAAACCAAAGCAGAGCTGACGGTTGTTGGGACAGTGGAGAGACTAATCAAGACAGTTTTGGTTATTTTGTTTGACGTCAGCTGCACTTGTTGCATTCTGTGTATGAAAGCTTTGCCAGTTAAAACACCTTTGTGACAGCTGACATAAAACAAACGATCGTATCATCATTTTCTTACTGATTGGTATCAGCTTTATTGAGCTATATTAAGCCAGTACATCCCTACTACCTTTGTTTCTTGTCCTAATTTTTGTCTTTTCTGTGATGTTACAAATGGAGCGGATGTGATGCGAAAAATATGTTTTGCCACCAAATTCACATCTAACTCTGTGAATTAAAGGTTTATTTCTATTTATTAAACCAGCGTTGGTGACGCACAAAGATGGTTCTGTTGAGTTTGAGATTTAGTTTCTGTCCAGTGTGTTCAACTATTATCTGTGAGGTAAAATCACTGGTTTTGTAATTGGAGCCTGGTAGGATGCAGCCAAAGGTGGTGGGGCTAGCCTTTTGTTAACATTTGGAGAAAGGACTGTGCTTTTAAGATTTAAATCTATTAATATCTCTGGATGCGGCTCAAAACATTGTAGACCTGCAAAACATGTGTTTGAATAAAAAAAGATTGTCTCTTTTGGGCGAAATATCATTCACAATTCACAAATACTGAGTGGACTGTCCCATATTTATGTATATATTTATGTCCCAATTAGATATATATATGTATTAAATACCACAGATTCCACTTCATGGTCAAAGGTTTCATGCAAACTGCAAGTCTTACTGGGCTGTGGGACCTCTGGGGCCTTGCCAGTTTCGGCAATAGGCGTGGGCTCTGCCAAAAAACAACAGGTTCCAGTTTCATCCATTGTTCTTTAAACAGGCGCAGCTTGAGAGCGACTAAAAAAGGCAGAAGCTGTGAGGTAGACCTTGATACTGCCACAGCTGGGAGGCTGTAAGCTAGAGGGGGTCAATAGCTGGTAGCACTAGCAATACAAACAACATATGAGCTTTGTGGGCAGGAAATGTATGAAGAAAATGTAGATGGGATAAAATGATGGCGCAGCACTTGTGTAGTCACCCCAAAACAGAGTGCAAATGGCACTTCTCCCTCTGCTCTCATACGCTGTATATAGATACTGCAAAACATGTGTAAGTGTACAGTAAATGTCCAAGGAAGTGCAGTGTTGGCATTTCACTGTACCTGGTTGAGGGGTTCCAGCGAGACCTATATCCTTTGCTGCAAAAATAATAAAAACATTGTTCATAATGCAATACTTAAAAAAAAAAAAGCTCATCTAAGAAAATAAGCTTTACCTGGTTTTCCAGGAACACCTGCTCCACCTGGTATCACAACAACAGAACCATCTGCACCAACACTGACACCTGTACCTTGAGTAGCTCCTGGCACGGCAAGTCCTGTTCCAGTGACGCCTCCTGTAACACACACAAGAGCAAATTTTATTGCCACTACTATCTGTTACATTACAATACAAACAGCTTATCCTGCTAATATTCTAACAATAAGGTCTCTAATGTCTCAGACTTTTCCCTCTAGAGACTCTTGAGACTCTAGAGAGTTGACATCTTGTTTGATGAAGAGACAACACCAACAGCACATAAGAGCAGCAGAGTTCAATTTAAGGAAGATTCACAGCTACATCTCAAAACCTGTGCGTTCTTCTGTGGAACAATTGGCATCTGTTTCTTCTATAATGTATTTCACTCCGTATGATGGTTGAATATCACTCTGGTCTGGAAAAGAGCCGGGTGTTTACTGTTATTTAACAATATTTGTATGTGTTAGATATGATAATTAATGTTTGTGAATGACAAAAGTTCACCAAACAATTAAATGGCATAACTTATTAGCAGATTAGAACAGCTACCTAAATGTGGTGGAGGGGTTTGCATTGGCAGTAACTCCTGGTTGGGTCACCCAAGGCAAATTGGTTTGAGGAGAATTGACAGAGTTAAATCAGGAAAGTGGCTGACCAGCAGCTCCCATTTGGGACCTTCTCCTACAGCCAGGCCTAAGAAGGGAGCTGGCTGGCGAGTGCCTGATCACCAGGATCACCACTCCTCGATCTACATTCCCTCACCTTCATCAGGGGCTTTTGGTAATGATGAAAAATAACATCACAGATGGTTGAAATTTGTTTTCTTTGCAGGGTGGTTCGGTTCACCAGATGAGGTCAGAAGCTCAGAAGTTGCTCGAACTAGAACTAGTACTAGGCATCCTTTGCACCAGAGGAATCAGGTGAGGTGGTTGAGGTTCCCTTTGAAGTGTTCCAGTTACATCCAACCGGGAGGAGACCAAACTACATATCCTATCTGGCATCGGGAACGCCTCAGGATCCCCCAGGAAGAACTGGAGGAAAAGGCTAGGGGGGATTATTTATGGGCTACCATATGTAGGATAGAAATGGTCTTCCAAATGGTTACAGCAAATGCTGCATGGCTGCACGGTCACAGCTGTCACCTGTATGATTTATTACATGTTATACCCCTCTTCCTGTTTTTCCATTTATCCTGTCACTATAAAAAAAAAGGTCTATTGTCATTGTCTAACTAAATGTATATAATAGACCCTCATCAATATCTTTATCCAAACATTTACCTTTGATTTTGTACACTGGTGAAATAAAAATACTTCTTCTTCCATCTTTACATACACATGCACATGCAATACCTTGAGTCCCAACCCCTCCGTGTACAACTCCTGTCCCTCCAGCTCCTCCTGTAACACCTGATTTAGGGATTATGGGAAAGTTGGATAAATTGTACAATATCCTAATATTAAACATTAAACAACTATTAGCATCAGTACATACCCAAGGTGAATACAATAACATAAAGATTTGTAATTATATCCTATCTTTAAGTTAAGTTATACACCATTAAATGTTTCTGAGTGTTGTGTGTGTTTGTGTGCTTATTCATTATACCGTATTTCGCAGCTTTTGCGGCAGCAGAGTATTGTCCCCCTCCTAGTCCACCAGGAACTCCTCCTGCTCCTCCCAGTCCTCCTGTTCCTAACCCTGCTCCAGCTCCTCCTGCCACTCCTAATTAAGGGAAAGTTTACTAGTAAGTCTACAGTTAATAAATACGATGAGATAAAGTAATCAGTAATATAATAATTGTAAAGTTCCTATCAGAATTGCATTTTTATCCTAACATTGTGTCCTGCCTATTAAAATCAGTTTATACACAAGATGAATACAATCTTATACCAACTAGATTAAGATAAAGTCAGTGAGAAAAAATATTTGTAATTATTGGAATTTAAGTTACACTATTACACTATTACATTATACACTATTAATTGGTTCTGAATGGGTGATATATTTGTGTATGTATGCTTTTAATTAATTAAATTAATTATACCATATTTAGCAGCTTTTGCAGCAGCAGAGTATTGTCCACCTCCTAGTCCACCAGGAACTCCTCCTGCACCTGTTCCTAACCCTGCTCCTGTTCCTAACCCTGCTCCAGCTCCTCCTGCCACTCCTGATTAAGGGAAATGGAGCAGGTCACATTAGTTTACAGTTAATAAATACGATGAGATAAAGTGAGTAAACAAGTAGATTTGTATTTATTTAAAATTGTAAAGTTCCTATCAGAATGATTATTAATTAGTTCAAAATGTGTGATATTTGTATATTTGTGTTAGTGTGATTATTTATTACCATATTTAGCAGCTTTTGCAGCAGCAGAGTATTGTCCGCCTCCTAGTCCTCCAGGAACTCCTAATGCACCTGTTCCTAACCCTGCTCCTGTTCCTAACCCTGCTCCAGCTCCTCCTGCCACTCCTGATTAAGGGAAATGGAGCAGGTCACATCATTAGTTTACAACTAATAAATAGGATGAGGTTTGTAACTATTAAGAATTGTAAAGTTCCTTTCAGAATGACTATTAATTGGTCTGAATGTGTGATATTTGTATATTCATATTGGTGTGCTTATTTATTATACCATATTTAGCAGCTTTTGCAGCAGCAGAGTATTGTCCTCCTTGTCCTGGTACTCCTCCTCCTCCCCCCAGTACTCCAGTTCCCAGCCCTGCTCCAGCTCCTCCTGGAACGCCTATTTAAGGGAGATAAAGCAGGTTGCATAATTATTTTACACTAATCAAATCTGCAGGTCAGAAATATAGAAATATGGGATAAATAAAAATTACATTAATTTTGTAAGAAAGTGAAAATATATAAACAATAGGCCAATTAGGAACAAACATTATGTCTGTCTCCAACAGTGACTGCTTTGAAAAATTCTGACCCCTGGACAAATGGAGCGACACCTGCAAGCTAGTTCAGGGAGTCGACTCGACATCCCTCACTCTCCATAATCAACTACCAACCACACCCACTATATGATAAACATATCTGTTCTAAGGGAATCAGTAGGAGCTTAGATGCTAAACTCTAACTCTGTAATTGAAGACGCCTGCTCTACCATCTTCTTCTTAATAGCATATCATCTAAGGTCCAGAAAGCATAAACATGATTAAGATGATTGTTCAAATTAGTCAAAAACACAAAAATAATATCAAAAACTACTTAAACAAAACGTCTTACCATACTTCGGGGGTTTGACTCCAGCTCCAGGTCCATAACCTGTGAGGAGGCAACATAATGTGTGTGACTGATAATTCAGCAGAACAAACAGCAGAAGCACTTTCATTGTACAAAACCTTTTGGTCTAAATTATATATATGAACTGAACAACTTACCACCATAGCCAACACCAGGAAGTACCTGTCCTGCTCCCCCTGGAACTCCGCCTCCTCCTAGGCCTGCTCCTGGGACTCCTGTTGGGAAATTAATAAAGAACTAATCTCTCTAGTTATGAATGAAAGATTACAGTTGCCAGAATTTGTCAGCAACCTGTCATTACCATTTTTGAAAACCAAAGTAAATGTATTAATGAATTTAAGGTTCAATTTTCCAAATCTTGTGATTGTAACATTGGATTTATGTAACAACATGTTGTACACCAGTGAGTAGAACAACATAAGAGAAATGGATGACATGGTATTAATTACACTACGTCTCACCATATTTCGGAGGTTTAGCACCGGCTGCCAAAGCTGCAACACAACATGACCGGAATATGTTAGATTAAAAAGTGATAAAGTAGTAGTAAAATATTGTATTCATTGCTCATGTAGATGTAGTAGTCTGCGGGGGACTGCTTACATCCATATCCTGGTAAAAATGGGACTCTTCCAGGAATTGCTCCTCCACCTGGAACTACCCCTGCACCACCTGGACCTTTAATACAAGAATGAATCATTTAATCATGTACACTGACTTCAATCACTACGTAAAATGTAAAATGCATTCGTTTCCATTGATAGTTTTTTTTTCCAGAGACTGAATTCCAGTTACCATATTTAGCAGCTTTAGCAGCAGCAGAGTATCCTCCTCCCAGTCCTGTGCCTCCCAGTCCTGTTCCTCCCAATCCTGTGCCTCCCAGTCCTGTTCCTCCTCCTCCTGTTCCTCCTAGTCCTCCTGCGCCTGTGGAAGACAAATGTCTGTCTGCTTAAAGCTGGTGGTATCTAATATACTACATAAGACTATTGCTTGTGATTCAATCCCAGCAGGTTTCTTTTATAGTTTACGACCTGCTCTTTGGTATTCTCTGCCTCATATACATCACAGGGCGCTGTGGCCAACCACAGGAACCACATAACGTAAAGTTCTGAGATTTGACAACAGTTATAATTACCATATTTAGCTGCTTTGGCAGCAGCAGAGTGTCCTCCTGCTCCTCCCAATCCTCCTGCTCCTCCCAGTCCTCCTGTTCCTCCTAATGCTCCTGTTCCTCCCTGTCCTCCTGTTCCTCCCTGTCCCCCTACTCCTGTGGAAAGCAAGTATAAAGAAGCAGCTCAAATCACATTCATCCATTTGTGCAGGCAAAAATAATGTGTACATGTTTTTTTTAATGCATTGTAAATAATATGTAATAGTTTTTATATGATTAGGGAATGAACAATGGTCTTTGGGGAAATATAGCTTAGAGAGTGTGTTTTAGCTGTGGTATTCAGGAGGGAACACACCAGCATCATGCACTTTTTTACCACAGTGAATGTTTGTTTGGTTGCTTGTTCAGCAAGCAACAGTGCAAGAGAAGACACATGTTTGTAATTTAGATAAGGAGGAGATTTTAGGGTTGTTGTTGCTGTCTAACTCAGTCAGTATGATCTTCTCTGACAATAGAAAGGTGATGTTACTACAAATATGGTTTAAAAAGTGAGTTTATTGACTGCATGGAAACAAGTTAATCATCAACGTAGTATATATAGTATCTGTATAACACATCCTAATTAATTAGGTAATGCCTTTGAGATTAGAGACTAGAGTAAAGCAAACAATTGGACTGAATTGTATCTTTAGTTGACAAATAAAAATCTCATACCATATTTAGCAGCTTTAGCAGCAGCAGAATATCCTCCACCTCCTCCCAGTCCTCCATATCCTCCTGTTCCTAACTGTCCTCCTTGTCCTCCGTATCCTCCTGCTCCTAACTGTCCTCCTTGTCCTCCATATACTCCTGCTCCTAACTGTCCTCCTGTCCCTCCTTGTCCTTCAGTGTATGTGGTCAAGGGAAACCAAGATAAAACATAATAAAAACACAACACAAATTTCACAGTGCAAAACATTGTTAAGTTCATAAAGTGCATATGATAAGACATTTATACACCATACCATATTTAGCAGCTTTAGCTGCTGGTAAATATCCACCAAACCCTGGTAATCCTGGAACTCCTCCTGGTACTCCAATTGGTGCACCTCCTGGTACTCCTCCCGGTACTCCTCCCGGTACTCCTCCCGGTACTCCTCCTGGTACTCCTCCTGGTACTCCTCCTGGTACACCCCCTGGTACTCCTCCTGGTACACCCCCTGGTATTCCTGTCCAGGGAACACCAGAAGAACCAACAGGTTGATATAAACGGAGAGGTTCTTATTTAAGGGAATATAAGTACTAAAGATTTTAAACCGACTCACAGACTGAGTGAATAGGTTGCGTAAAAAAAGATGTGAAAAAGTTCTCACCATATTTAGCAGCCTTGGACGCAGCTCCATATCCTGCTGTAAAATATTCAAAGATAAAGAAGCATGTATGATACTTTTACAACTAAAATACATAGTAAAATACAGAGAGAATGGCAATGAAAGTACATTTCTTTTTTAACCCATGCTAGTAAGGCTTAAGGATTGCTATATATTATACCTCCTGCCACCTGCCCTGGATACAGTCCACCAGTGCCACCAACACCTCCAGCACCACCGTAACCTGGAGCAGAGAACACAGATTTACGTACATATATACAAATACAAGACACAAATACATCCCAAACTGATAATACACAACTTGCATTGTGTTTGTCTAGACAGGACAGCATTGTCTAAGCATTGTCTTGCTAATGAATGTGGTAGGATACCATATTTGGCAGCTTTAGCCTGAGCAGGTGAGATGACCCCGGGCCCCACACCTGCATAAAGACAAAAATACGTCATTTTTTGTTTTTCATCTTTCTGCTCCATATCAGTTAACAGTTTGTAAACATACACACACACCAGTTCCAACAGGATAACCAGGCCTTGATCCAACTTGTCCTCCTGGAAGTCCAACCCCACCATTACCAAAGCTGCCATAACCTGAAACATTATAATGTGACACATCTTTAATCCCGGGATTTAAAGGGATGCCAGTTACACCAACTATTTGAAAAAAAAAAGTAAAAGTGTATTTGTACCATAAGGTACTTTTCCACCTCCAGGTTTTGCTCCTTGGCCACCTAAAGAGATAAACAAACCCTTGAGACATTGATGCTAAAATAAACCATCTGTGACATTGCTCATACATTAAAATGCAGTTTAATTGTTTTGAAATGTGTGGAAACAGCTGTAATCCAGCTGTTATCCATTGAAGAGGTTAGTGGGTCCCAGTAAAAGTTAAGATTTAAGGCAAATAGTTCATTGTTACAGCAGAACTATGCTGTTTAGTTTGTGAACATCTAAGTTTGCTGCATTTTTTGCACAATTGTAGCACCAGAAAGTGTCTCACATAATTGTTTTATTCATTAATTTGCTCACTTAACTATGGTTAACCTACATTATAACAAAGACTTCATTCAGTTGCCTCCTGATTGCAGTGTTGCTGAACCTGTGGTGTCCAAATAACCCGTATCACACAGTCATTTGAAAATTATCAATCTGCAAACCGTGTCATAATTCTCATTTACAAATGAACAGTATAATAATAATTTAAGCCATTTTATACATAATCCTTGGAATCCATGGAATCCATGCAATATGTTGTTTAAACCTTGTAATTTCAATATTACTGAAGATCATTATCTCCTCTTAACTATCAAATATAGAAAAAAATGCCTGAAAATAACCAATTAGAGTATGTTTAAGACAGAAATTACATTTCAGTGATTATACCGTCTTCATTATGTGAGGACAATGATACATATTAGAGAAAAAGAAAAGTAGTAAGAAAATAATTATGCAAATAATGATCCCCAGATGGACATCGGTGAGTTGGTGCTTTACTCTATTGCAGAAAAGTTTAGTAGCGGCGTTTGGGACTGTCTCATCTTCTGTAGGAGGTAGCACAGTAGCATTGCTGTGGTAATCTCTACAAAGCAGGCAAAGGAGGCAGTGTTCTGCTTTTGGAGCAATCGGGGGCCCCAAAGACAGAAATCTCTCTCTAGAATCAACCAGTGATAAACCCACCATAGAAAACCATAGGGCGGTACCCATAGAAGTGCCCATTGGTTATCAGGCCATAAGGCGAGTAAGACTGTCTGTATGCTGGAGAAAGAAGAACTGTAACATGGACAAGGTTTAAATACTGAACATATCATATGAAGAGAACAATACAACTTGTAAACAACACAGTAACTGTATAGATTTAGGTCACACCTTGCAGTTTGGGTGATTTGAGGGGGTATCCGTGGAACACTCCTGGCTGCATCGGTCCACCGTAACCGCGACCTCCTGTGACAAAGGAAATACCAATAATGGTGACAAAAACAGAAATATGTTTGTTTGTAATACAGCAATAATCATAAATAAAGTTACCTGCTCCTGGACCTCCTTGTCCTCCCCCTCCGACTGCATAACAGAAATCACATAATCCAATCAGAAGATCAGTTTTGAATGTAAATACCAGCACCACCTAACCCTAACCCTAACCCTAACACACACAGATAACTGAACACTGGCCTGAAAACTACACAGACCCTGTACAACTGTGCAGTACCCTTTGGAAAAGCAGCATACAGACCAATAACATTTTGTATAAACAATGTTCTTTGACAACTTTTCAATTCCTTATTTATTTTTTTATTTTACATATTTTTTCGTTTACCTTTTGTTTTTCTATGTGTTCCTTTTACGATATCTTTGTATTATTGTTTATTGACAAATTTTGTAAATGTGTATTATTTTTTTCTATTGTTTCACCTTTGTATTGTTCCCTATGTTTTAGTTTTTTAAATAAAGGCAAGAAAAATAGTGCTCATATAGGAAAAAGCAAAAAAAAAAATCATGTAATTTAAGTGTCATTCAATGGCAATGAAAGAAATTCAAAATCAGCCAACACTCATGAGTAAAAAACTAAACCATACTTGATTTAGGATTCAGGTCGGTGCCAGTGGCCACCCCAGGCAGGACTCCACGTCCACCAAACCCTGAAGAATCCATAAATAACCAAAAAACAAGCCACATTAAATCCTTGTACAATACTTGGTTGCAAAAACACCATTCACACGATGAAACACTTGAGAAATTGTGTCTGAGATCAATCAATGAAAGAGACAAACCTTTTCCTGGCACCAGGCCACCTTGGTAAAGTCCAGGCACATCGACACCTGCCACAGCCAATGAGAGGATATTACCGCACTTCTGCATCCACATTAAAACATGTGGAAGAGATCTTTCATGCAACAATTTATGAGCAGGAAATGTATTTGCCTGTCAATCATTAAACACTACTACAAAAAATACCAGACAGGACGCAGCACAGCTGGCGTCTTACAAAATTGGCTACTTGTTAGCTTATTTATTGATTCATTGACATTAGTGAAATCCTCTATTAAGGAAACATCTTAATGGCACTGCTGTGTTTAAAGTACAATATGAATAAAGCTGAGTTTATTTTAGTTGCAGTACGGTATGTAGATTCTGTTTACACATACAGACTTCGATTTATAAACAAAAGGCTTTTAATTTTGCCGATAATTAGCATATTTTTTCAGAAGACTTCCAGCCACAACGAACATCGGCTACATGCAATGGAAAATGAATTTGATCTGGTTCTGCTGCTTAGTGAGTTTATTGTTGAGTCTACAAGACCTGGCACTTTGGCAGCTTTCTTTCCAGCACCACCGGCCCCTCCTGGAAGGCCTGTCTGAGGAATAACAGGTGCTGGAAAAAAGATTAAACGTTACTTGGCTCATCGAACAACGTATGACAAATATACAGTGTGAAAAACATAAGCACATCTTTCTTGTCCAAGTGCTGAGTCCAAACAACTGTAACTGTGATCCCTGCCTCCCAAAGACTCACACCACTGTTAACTGCCCTCTTTAAAATTTTTACTTTATTACGTTCAAAGAAGTCTTGTGTTCGTAGCCCAAGATGGCTCCTCGTCAGAGAAATCAGCTCCACTGTACCTGACAAAGAGGGGTATGAAATGTTGTACTTGTCCTAAAATATTAAAGTTAAGCATTTTAAAGGGAATGGTTAACAGTGTTGTGAGTCCTTGGGAGGCAGAAATCACAGTATGACAAGTAAAAAAAGTGCAAAATAAAATAAAAACTGAGAAAATGGGCAGAATGATGTGTTGATTGTGTGTCTTGCCTCCAGCGGGCACTGCAGGTCCAGTTCCTGTACCTCCAGGACCTCCTCCTGTCCCTGATTGAATGTCAAGTGCACACATATAAATATAACATAGAAATAGACAGTGTCAGGTTTGAGGTTGTACTCACATTCACTTAAACTGGAGGCATTAACGCATGTGTAAACATGAGAGTAACCTTACAACTCAAGTATTCTACAGTTGTACCTCCCATGACCACTAGAGGGCCCTGTGATACTGAAAAAGGGGAAATGAGCAGGTGTGTCTTGTGTCAGACTTGACCTCTCCAGCAAGGAGCCAGATCCTTAGACTGCCCATTGGTATTGAGAGCTGCTAATCTGGCCCTACTAGTCTGTCATCACCCCATGATCAAAAGCAACATGGCTGACTTTTAATCTAATCAGGAGAGGCAGCCAGCATGCATGGCATTTGCCTTGCCTCATCAAATGCCTCATTTCTTTGGCTATCCCCTCGTGCAGGAAATGAGCTGTCAGCTTCGCTTGTAAGGGAGCTTGGCAGCAGAATAAACCACATTGCTTTATTTGTTTAAACTTTTTAACATTTTTAATCTTACGTTCCCCATACTTTGCCGGACAGACATTGCGCACTGCTTGTAAGTATGTGGCCTGGGAGATTTGGTGAGGAAAGGTTTGGCAAGGGAATGCTTTGTTTTATCTGTGCTCTTTCGGAGGAATTAATTGTTATTTTGAGCATCATGAAAAAAAAGTACAGACTGATCCAAGGGACCGAAGGTTTGTCACTGCCAACCAATACTTAAAAATAGGCTGTTTGCCATAGTGCCGCTCAGGCAATGATTGGGCCCTCCTGAGTCCAATGCTTAATCAGGCTGCCTAATTAAAAGCAAATCATGTCCACATACACAGCACAGGCTTTAAGGTCACACTGGGTTCTGCTGAAGTTGAAACTCTCCAAGGTTTGCAGGTACGTGATAAAAATGTACATGTGTTTGCCAAACAGTGTTTTTCATGCTGAGTTACCATTAATGCAAAACATTCATTTTGGCTTTCTCATAACATGCAAGCATGCAGATCTATCAGAGATCTAAAAAGCTTTGTGTCAGTATTCAGCACAGTTCAAGTTTGTACAATAGTCTGTGTTCAGGCCAAGAATCACCTTACCTCCATGTGGTAGCAGAGAGCCTCCGGCACCTGTGATCAAGACAACCAGAATATCAGCAGCGTTCGTCCGTATGAGACGTTTAGAGAAAAACCCTCAAGGAAGCTTATCAGAATTATTATGTTTTTTTTAATGTTGTTGTCTCAGCACAACAACAACAACAACTGATTTTAAAGAACCAAGCTGAATATTTGTCCAGTTGATACTCATGATTACTCTAAAGCAGGAGGCAGATGACCAGAAACCATAGTGAAAGCAGTAGTATTTCAGTTAATTATATGATACCTATACGCATAACTCATAGCTTCAATTATTTACTTTCAAGAGCTGGAGGTAATTTGACATAAGGAAGACATAATCTTTCTAAATGGCCATGGCCATTCCACCTCTACAGCGATCTTTCAACACAAGCCAGAAAGAAAATATGAGAACCAAACTTGAATACCTGGAATTTGAGGCATTTTTACTGAAAGGTCAAAACTGAGAGTGGAAAGCCACATAAAATTTCTGCAGCCATCAAAATAAACAACTTAAAATAAGGAAGTGGAACATGATCAATGTCTTCTTCCAACAACCAATATTCCATCACTGAGCTTGATGACCTCCAGTTTCCATCACAGTCACTGAGCCAGTTTTTGACTTGAGTTTTATGAAGGAATGCTTGTTTCGAAATTTAGGGAAAAGGGCTCTACTGTTTGTGATGTCTCTGCTTGTTGTTGAGTCTAATGGAATCATCCATAAACAAAAGATGCCATAAATCAAACCTACAGTAAATAACTGACACACATATGAATCTTACATAGCTATTAAAATAATAAGCAATAAACCATTGTCTATTTTCTAATGTAACGAATATCTCTAAAAATCATAGTTTTGAAATACAATCATGCACACATTGGGCTTATAAACATGCAAATATGGAGAGATGGTGGAGTGATGGGCTGCCACGTAGCAGCGCTCCAGTAGCATTTATGGGTTAGCTGTCTTGCTCAAGGGCACCTCAACAGTGCCCAGGTGGCGGAAGTCCACACTCAATACTATGGCTCATGCTGGTCCCTACGGACTGAGCTACTCATGGCAAAAGTTTGCAATTATAGATTCAAATACAGAATTTCAACCACTCAAAATAAACCAATTCCCTTCATGGCATCAAAAACAACAATTATCCATTTCTCCATTTACAGTAAACAGATGTTACATTTCTGTCTGCTGTACCTCTTTTGGCAGCCTTCTGTCCAGCTCCTGGGAAAAAGCCCCCAGCACCTCCACCATATCCACCATAACCACCTAAATGAGACAAAGAGGCAAAGGAGAGAGTGTGTGGGATTATTGTATAGTGTAAACTTTCAAACATACATTTCAAAGACATTTAAACGTTTGGTGCTTGTGAAACTGACTGAAAATGTGAGAATATAATGTTCTAACCTAACTGAATGTTACACTTACACACACCACCAGTTCCAGTTTCAGTTCCAGGCTACATGCACTCACCTCCTCCGTGGCCTCCAGTTCCCAGACCACCACCTCCTAGATTGCCATAACCTGGATGGAAGGAAATGACAGACAGGCAGTAGAGCAGAGAGAAATAAATGGAGTGTAATTTCTGTACTAGACATTGTAGATGGGGGCGAGGAGAGTCAAAGAAAAGAAACACGGTTTTCATCACCGTGGCCATAATGAATTACTACTGATTTATTGAGCAGTAATTACCCTTCAATAAAACTAACCCATCACTCATCTTTCATCAAAACATTCTCCAGGACCTGCAAGTATGACATACTGTGCATATGAAAAAAAAATAAAGCACATGAAATATGACACAATATCATGTGTGCTTCATTAAGTTTGATTGAAAACACTCACATTTATGTTTCTAGAGCCAAGGACTGCACCTTGGGCTCGAGTTGACCCCCACTGACTATGAAACATGATAGACAAAACATCAGAAATTGTTGACCATCTAGTTATACTCTATTCTAAACACTGGAGGGAGCAATCTGTTCTTTCTGAGACCAAAAGCCCCAAACTAATCTATGAGCGGCAAAAACCTTTTGGCTTCGACTTGACGCATGAATTAAGTCATATCCCAGCTTGGGTTTCTGCTTGCTGACAAGAACAAAAAATGTGAGAAGTAGATAGGGAAATGGAAAAAAGTGTGGAAAGAGGAAAGGAAATGGAATAAAATGATCACCACCTGCTCATGGATTGAAAGAGAGTGGGAGATCTTTAACATCAGGAGCCCAAATGGTGTGGGGCCCACTGTACTGTCAATAGCATTTAGAGAATATTAAACTAAATGCTATTTTATCTTAAAACATGCATATCTACAGGAGCCATTACAAGTAAAATAACTGGTGGTGGTGATTATTTTGTGGTAAAAGAATACTTTTAACGGGAGGATTGCATTGCTTTAGTTTAATTTGTAGACTCCTAAAGGAGTGACATATCAAAAATGTCCAAATTAATATAAAAAAGCTACGTTAATACGTCATGAAAACTCAGCCTTACATCGTTTACCTTTAATTTGTCAAACATTCCACAACATAAAACATGCTACAAAGTAATTCAAGTGTAATACGTTTCATTGTATATACAGGATATGGAAAATTGCGTGAAGGCAGGATATTATTCAAATCTAGATTCATTAAGTTGAACTTAAGTATCTCCAGATAACTGCCAAAATGATATATTCCTATTTTCTGGGGCTAACATATGAGACTCCATGTTCTCTGAACTGTATTAAAAGAAGCTGTGAGCTGAACAAGCTCCCCAATCAGAGACAAACATGTTGGAGTAATGACTGTTTTTGAAACAAGAAGAAAGCTGCCAACAAGTTAGTCCACTAAGGAACTTGTTTTCATCAATACTTGCAAGCCAAAAAGTCTGGGGTGAGAGCAGCTAAGCATGGGAAACATGCAACAGAGAGATAGAGAGCGAGAGATCAGACTGGAGGGTGAGAGCTCGGAGTCCGAGCACTCTACAGGGTGCAGGTAATGATACTGACGAGGAGCAGGAATGCGCTGGGAGAGACAGACAGAAAGATGGAAGTGTGGAGTTTCATGACCTAGTCAAAATAAATGTGGGCACTGGCCTTGCCAAGGGCTTGGCAAACAGACTGAGCATGCAATGCGAGCCCAGACGCTAAGCTAAGCGCCCTTGCAATAATCCATCTCCTTCAAAGCTTTCAGCTCCATTCTCCTCGATTGCTCAACCATCCCCAGACACACCTTGAAGTAATAACAACAGTAATCAATTCTTATATAAATCAGACTGAATAGGGCTTTCCCTTTTCCAGTGTCTCTTGCTGACAAAAGGAATCTGTCTTATTTGTCTCATTTTAATCAGCGAGCTCCACATACCATAAAAAATGTTAACGAATTGACAGGAAAACTGACCAAAAAAACAAGATAGTTAGAAGACACTTGGAACACTGCGGATGCCTAAAACCTTTTAAATGACTAAGTCTGGCTTGAAATGTTCCTTTAAAACCGTCCCGTCTGGTCTAGCCTCCAGATCGGTGCGTCTGTCAGTGCGAGTGTTGGAAATATACAGCACAGTCTGCGAAACAGAGAGATTATGCATGTCCCTGGAAGAGAAACATGAAGAGAGAGTGAAGACAGGCAGGACCTGCGCAGACCTTTAGCTTATTCATGCATCATCTAGCCCACCTGTGCTCACATGTGCATGACCCAAACTGGCTCTCTGGCAGTCCTGCTCAGAATCGACCAGCACCTGCCACGTAGAGCTCGACTCTCTGATTTGAGATCAGGAGATGCAGACATGCAGAAGTCCGCCTGAGAGCGAGTGTGTGTCTATGTGTGTGACCATGAGTGTGGGCCTTGGGCAGACATAAGGTTTAGACCAAGAGAAAAAAGGAAAGGAAACTTAATCTTATGTAGTTCTGACATCACTAGACACTGAGAAAATAAAACTGCCCTTGAGTAAAAAATACTACCCTGGAGGTTGTGTATTTTCAGGGTTGAAGTGAGAGAACACGCTAACAAAGTCTGGACCTTTGTCGGTCTCACATTCATCCTCTGATTGTGTATTTGGGTAGATGGAAGTTAGAGATTTAGTACAAAAGCTCTCTGTTTAGCCGTATTTACGCCATCTTGTCAGCTCAAACAAGCATGCTTTTGTTGGACTACTATTATTACAGCACGTCAGCTCACACAAATAGACCTGTCTTAGCTCACACATTATTGGAAGTCTACACCAATGTTGTTTGTTGTCATGAACCACACACATGGAAAGTCTGCACCACAACCCTGATATCAAATCATCGCTTTTCTTTGGTGCTGCTCCCAGTATTTAGTTGATTGCTGACAAGCTGAAGGATTTCTGTACACTTAATGTAGTGGCTAATGTTCTTGGTGACCCTCAAGGCGTAGTAGCCCAAGAGACCACTTGAAATCCCAACTGCCTTTGGACCTTGGACAAGGAACCCCTACAAAAGGTCGAAACTCTTGAATACAAGATGGAAGGGACAGAAACCCAATACGACACAGGAGGGAGGACTGGAGGCCAAGGAAACTGGAAGGTAAGTGATGCAGGACTGCAATGCATCATAGTTTCCTCCATTTAGATGTTCAAAAAAGTGTAACAGAAACATAGTTTACTAGCCAGTTTCCATTCAGAAAGGACCACTGGCTTTCACAGCTGTGCAGTGACAAGTGCACCAGCAGGTTGTGGAGGTGAAATTTGGGATGGTGTGGCAGTGAATATGATTCATTTGTGGTGGCCGGTTTAAAAATGATCTCAGTGAGGGTATACAAGTAAATGCAAGTCTAGACCTTCGCTGACAAAGAAGGAGTCTTGTTTTCAGAGGAATGAAAATGTGATGAGGGACAGGCTGCCACATTCATTGCCTCCTGCTGTAACATGTCATGTGCATTATTTAAACTGGAGACTGACACTGGAATAAAACTGACCAGACAGCGTGGCTAGCCCTTTTAGTCACCAGTCATGTTCTCAAACTCGGCTGGAGTACAAGTGATGGATATGAGCCAGTGTGAACAGAAATATCTGGTTTCAATCTCAAAACTGAAATGTCTTGCTCATGCTCCATTGGGGTTAGCTAAGGTAATCTTCTGTTTCAGAACCAGAGGAATACAAGAGACATTAATCAAAACATTGTCTTCAGCGCTCAGTTTCTTTCTCTTACTCTTGTTCTGCCTGTTTCTCCATCCCTTTCTCTTTTCTCTCGCTCTTTCCTCTCCAAAAGGTGTCAAAGGGGTTGCACCGACCAGACATGAGGTGTTAATAGCAGCAAGCAGAGGAAGCCAAACGTGAGAAGTGAAAGATGGATTTGCTCACTTCTTTCCTTCTCCTCCGTTTTCTTCCCCCTCTCCCCTTCTCTCGACTTTGTGAACCAGCTGGGCCTGGTGAAGGGTTTAATTTAAGAGAGCAAAGAATTCCATGGCAAAGATCCACTGTAACTGACGGCAGACGCGCAGAAAGCAGACTTCGGAGCTGGAGCTCAGGAATGTCCAGGACATTTTGGGACTTGTTTCTCACCGTATTCTTTGTTTTAGCTCAAATTTAAATCAGGCAAGTGGTCTAACAAATGTTTGTTTGAAAAGCCAGGGGTTGAGATACGACTCACATTTCTCTTCAACACTGTTGTCTGAATTGCAAAGCAGTGTCGGTGTGCAAAAATGATGGGAGGGTCATAGAGGAATGATAAATTGTGAGTCTAAATGTTCAGCTAAACACTGGATTTGCTGTACAAACTATCACAAACCATCAAACCACAAACATACATAGAGTAAAGGGAAGTTGCAAGAAGCACAGAGGCGTGCTATGGCAGTGCAAATGCTGCAATTTTCTGTAATGTGATGGAAAATCTTCATGATAACTTCCATCTTCAAAGCTCTCTGTAGGTCCCCAGAGAATCAGCATTACACTGTGATTGACATGCAGATTCTGTTCTTCGGCTGTGGTCCCATATAAATTTTCACTTTGAAAGTTAAGCCCATCATTATGTCCTTCATTGTCATGACACCAGATTTTTATCAGTATCAAATTATCACAGTTTCACTTCCAAGTTGGTGGATGGATTGCATTCTTATGAGGTGACGCAGGACAAGCTGGATGAAAGCAGAATGATGCGAGGTGCTGTAGTGATTCCAGATCGCGTGAGACAAGTGGACACACTGAAGCTCCCCTTGCTTCCTCTCTCCCTCCCTCTCCTGTGACCTCCCCTGCTCCTTGTCACTTCCAGGTTCTCTATGCTGTCAGTCACGGGCACCGAGCTGTGAGAAGCGGGACTAGTCACATGTTGGACTAATTAAGCAGTCACACAGTCACACCACTACACACAAACTCTTTCCCTCTCTGGCTGGTGTGAGCCAGCCGACTTTGGCGGAAAGCCTTTTATTGTTTTCGCTTTCCTTTTCCATGGAGTCATCGACACTATCAATGAGGGGTCACAGAGCCTCAGCCTCCCTCTTTGCCAGATGACCCCAAGAGCACAACTGCCAGAGCTCCTACAGACAAACAAAGAAAGGGTCTAAGGTTGCCTCATTCTCCAACATCTTGGG